ATGTCCTGGGAGCCGTTGTAGTGTTAGACCATTTGAAGATGCAGGATTTTTTAGGGTATTAAGGTAGTTTCGGACAAGTTCTGTGGTGACGGTTAACGACAAGTTTTACTGCGGGCTTGGAGGGCCTTTCAAACTGCCTGACTGTATGAAAGAAATTGTTGCACCTTTGAGATGTTTTTCTCTTACTAGCGTTTGAATGGTCCCCAAGCGTTACAAGAAGCAGTGTTGACGGTAACTCAGCAGGCCTTATGTCGGATTAAATGTACAAAATTCCGAAATCCAACTGAAAACCAACCTTGAACGAATGGTAGGATGTAAAGTATTTACAATATCTTTACCGTAGTACCGTGAAGCAATACCTTGACAACCGGCTCTTCTCGTGCCAAGGAAAACTAGGTTTGCCAAAAAAGGCCATGTCTGGTAGAATTTCGAATAAGTTTGATACTTTGATTCATGGAATTCAAGAACAAGTAATGCTCACACATTTTAATTAGTATCATATAAACGATTAGTAAGATTTTCTAGATATATTTTAATTATTTTTTCATTTCCTCTGTCATCCAGCTTACAGCCCCGACCTCGTTTTTTCGGACTACCATTTATTAAGTCCATCGTTCTCTTTCAACGGGGCACGCATTCAAAACAGGTGAATGTCTTTTAAAATAACACAGACAAAAATTAGACAAGTCACGCAATTCTGGCCATTTGAGTTTGGAGATGATCTATGATGGTTTCTCGATAAATTCTGAACCATATTTTTTTAAATAATATTTATTAATACCTGTATAATTTAATACATTATGTAATGTTTTGATACATATTTACAAATCACATTGACACAGTAAATGTTTTGAGAGGAGTTAACAACCCTTGTTGCTTTCCCAATTTTACTCAAGGTCCTGAGTGTTTCAGTAGTGTTTTGTAGAGTGTCAGTTTGTTTTTTGTCAACATGGTAGATTTGCATCCAAGTATTTTATAGAGCAGTCCGTAACGTCTGTTTAGTTCCTGCCCAAGCACATTTTCAACTTCTCCCACATCCACATAACTTGGCTCCTTCGGAATACGTATTCATGGACCCAAATAAGGCTCTCTTTTAGCGTGGCCAAATGTACAGACATTAATTAATTTTAACTTTATTTATACATATTATGTACATGTAAATATTGTAATATCTTCTTTTTTGTGTGTNACATACTCTTAATAATAAAAAACCACGTTCAGTTTATGAAATATTATTTATTCTGATGTGAATAGTGAACTCTTTAAGCAAGTTAACACTTTAATTATCTAATGTATCTAGAGAACGCGGAGACCTTTATACTATATTTATCCATAATTTTTATTTTGAGTGCATTTTACTGTTTGTCATGTACGTAGTTATGTATCTAATATCTATAATCGTATGTTTTATCATGTAATGTGCGCGCGCACGTCCATATGGTACATGTGTATGAAGTTGTGTACCCTTCACAGTTTTTGTGGACCTTTTTTGCCGTTTTTGCGAAATAAAAGAAGAAACGGCAAGGCACTATCTCATAGAGTGTGATAGGTATGCTAGGTCTAGATTTGAAATCTTTTAAGGAAAGGACATCACTAAATCATTCCCCGAGATTAAATGGTTCAAAATCTTGGGGTTTGTGAACAGTTCCAAAAGGTTTATGCTGTACACGTGAGCCGACCAAATCCCAGACCTTTTAGGGATGGGGTACGAGTCTACCCAGGCATTTAACCCCTCGGGTCTTGGTCGCCCACCCTGCATAATATATAATATATTCACAGTTTTTTAAACACAGTTTTTAAAATATTTAATATAGTTTTGTTAAAGGGAAATTTTCAAACTTACATTCCAAAAAAATACTATTTTATTTTTATATTTTTAATAGAAAATTAATTAATAACATTATTAGGCCTTGTGATAAAATTTAGTAAATTGGTGTTCAAGAACTTTGTTAAAAATTTAAAATGTAAAATTCCTATGAGGTTTTTCCCCCTGAAAAAAATCAACTTTATTAGACTATAGGGGAAAAATTATAATAGTTTTTAATGGCATGATTGATGAATAATGAATTATTGTTGTTTGTAAGAGTTAATCCTGTTTCAAATAGGATGATGGTTGCGTGACTTTATTTTCCTTGGAATACCCCTACCCAGTTAATCCATTTTTGAACGCAGAGGTGACCAGAAAATCGCGAAGCGAAGATAGGTATCGAGAACGTTTGTCCTATAAAACTCTGCTCATGCAGCAGTACGAAGCTACAAGTCAAGTTTTTCAATTTAAACAGAAATCGTTAGTAGAAAAAGTAATGTAGAAATGTTGACAAATCAAAACGGTCCAATCCATATTGTTCTATTTGAAAATTTGTCAATATAGCCAGTATTTCAGATTACCAAGATTTATAGAATTTTATAAGTTCAAATTAAAAAGTTTTCAATTTAAAAAAAAAAAAATAATAATAAAAAAACTCGGGCCTCGCCAGGGGGCCAGCCCCCTGGATCCCCGGATGATTTTGTTTTGAGCCGACGGCTAGAATTCAGAAAACATGGAACATGTTTTAGCCGCGCAGAATTAATGTAGGTAATTGTGAATAAAGAAAGAAACAATTGTAAAACGTAAAACAGATTAAATTTATTTTATTCAACAGCACAATCGTTAGAAGAAGTTAAGTTAGAAGAATGGACAATATGGGTTTATGATAACTGAAATAGCTTATAAATTTTTAGAATCAATTTTATCTATGTTGCGAGCGAAGACTAAATCGATGCACGATCCACCACGGGTAGTTGATAATGCTGGATTCGTTATGAGATGCAGTCCGAATGTCTTTTCCATGAAACTGATTAAATGTTGGTTTTCTTTCTTCTTCATATCTAAGTTGATATCGCCAGATAGAATAATTGGGATTTCTCCGTAGCCTCTTTCTTCAATAAGTTCAAACATTTCTGATGCTTTTGGTGCGTACACTAATAAGTTAGCTAAGAAGAAAAATTCAATGTCTTTTACGTTGCTGTTGGGTGAAACGTAGAATGTGACAATCAATGTTCGTTGTCCGTTTATCGTGATTTAAACAGCGCAAATATCCCCACATTCTTCACTTATTGCCATACTTCTGTTGAGTTGTAACCGGTTTTTGTCAAATTTCATCAGATTGTGCGGGGTTGAAAATAACATGCAATCCTTTTTTTCGTACATTGCAACTCCTCCAACACGAACTTCTTCACGTTTGAACTGAGTAACACATCGATAGCCTCTCAGCGCAACCTCATCATCATTATTCAGCCAGGTCTCGGTTAACGCCAAAATCTTAGTTTCTGGCAAGGTAAAATCGGTGATTAAATCTTCTTTGTGCGCCATCAAACTCTGGACGTTTAGAGTAAGTAATGATAGATCATCGGGGCGGCCTGCACGGTTTAGAAGGTCTCTACACTCGTCGCTAATTGTGTGAAGGCGATGATTTACCAAACGATCAAACTCGGTTTTCAAATCGATATTCACTCTACCGCGAGCATGGTAAAACTTGTGATCCTTATTCTTATTTGTGAGGAAAAACCCGTCGAGAGACGTAGCTCGTGACAATGCGACATAAACGAGCTGTTGATCGTGGCTTTTATCGTAGTCGTACACAACTGTGTCGTAGGTCCCGCCTTGTGATTTGTGTATCGTCAATGCACATGCTTCAACCGTCATTTCCGTAACGCTTTTTTCGTTACGTTTTTTCCGGACGTTTTTAGCCGGGGGATGATGGCTAAAACATGTTCCATGTTAAACACTACAACTTCGTAAGTTCGACGCACAAGTAACGATGTTGCAACCCCGTAGATATGTATAAATTTCAGGGAGTTTCTACACCCAAAATGCAACAAAAAATTTCACTTGGCGATTGTCAGTTTTCAAATGTTTGACTGTGGTATTCGGTAAAACTCGAGTTTCTCCATAAAAACAGGTATTTACACAAATGTATCATACCTACACTCGAAAATCCATTAAAAGAAAATAAACATTTCCCTGCTAATTTCCAATTTGAAAAAAACAAAAACAAAACGGATTAACTTTCACAAACAGCGATAATTTACAATTCATAGATAATGCTAGTGAAAAGGTAAAAACCTCTTCAGTTTGGGCCTCAGAAGACAAGAAAAAAATGTTTTAGGAGTAAAAATTCTCTTCTTCTCTCAGTCAATTTGAATAAAGTTTTGAGGGATGTTAGTACATCGAAAAATATTAGACACGTGTAGAGGGTTTGTTTTCAATGATAGAAGTAAACCATTTTTTCACTCACGAACCCTCTGTGTGGTGTTGATGAGAAAGCAAATTCAGTTGTTTCTGCCAAGCTTTCGACCTATTTTAAGGTCACCATCAGGGCAAAACAATCTTAACTATGTTTACATATCGACATAATTAATTTTTCACAGAGGATTTTAAATTTCCTTAGAGAACGACTCAGTCCCAATTTGCTGAAGTCCTTGGCAGTGTTAGGACTGAGTCGGTCTTCAAGGAAATTCAAGATCGCCTGTAAAAAACTTTAATATGTCAATCTGTATATATATTTGATCGTTTTGCCCTGATGATGATGTTAAAATAGGTCTAAAGCTTGGCAGTTATAACTGAATTTGCTTTTTTTCTTCAAGACCATACCTTGAACCAGAGCGTTCGGGGGATTGGCGAAATTAGACCCAGAAAACCCTAAATAAAGTTAAATAATGTGGTGTAGACTGGTTCTGGTAAAGGATATAAGTTAATTTCACAATTTGTTCATGGTTTAAATCTTTTTAAACTTTTTTAAAATTTGTCACCACTGCATACCCACTAGGCAAAAATTACGAGTAATTGAAAATTCCAAACACTTTATACCCAGACGATGGTCGGGTAGATTTAGTTTATTTATGTACATCGTAACAATAAAGTAAAAAATATAAATTAGGAATCTTTTTAATCAAATATTTTTCTTGTGTATCGGAGTAAAAACCAAAGACGACTAACGTTGTGTTATGCTTCTTAATAGATGTGACAAGAGTGGGGGCGAATGACGGATCGTGCTACGTCAAATGGTCTTCTGGCCAATTAATGTCAAATAGAGAATCAGTCTGCTTCTTGCCAGAGATGGAGACGGTGGTCCTTCCGTTGGACGTAGAAATCAAAGAGGAAGAACTCGAAATTGGCGCGAACATCATCCTAACATCAGTTCGCCCCTCATGGAATTCGAAGGAAATTCTATTCAAGGTGACTTTTCATTAATCGTTATACGTACAAATTTAAATTGTATATTTTTTTTTTTTTTAAATCTATACTGACTGGAACTTAGTAAAATTTTAATTTTTTTTATCATTCAACATTAATTTTGTATTGTTGTATGCTTATTATTTAAACTCGTTAAGTACTGACTGATTAATTTGATAACAAGATCAACAATTAAGCTGATTTTTGCATTTTTTTGTGTGCTGATCAGCAAAAACCTTTTCAGATTTGGTATTTTATTTTTCATGCTAAATACGTGGCTCAAAGTTACCATAAACACACACACACACACCACGCACGCCACACACACACACACACACACACACACAATACACTGACATTTACTGGTGCTCGTATTGTATCTATTTCATTATATTGTATTAAGTTGTTACTTTCAATTGGCCCCTCCGGAGAGTTTGTTGTTCGCCAACCTTGGCTCAAATACTTTACGTAACAATCACACATAGCTTATAAACACATTTTTAATATTGTATTTGAAGAACAAAAACTTTTGAATGTTGGTCGTAAGCAAGGAGAAATGGAACATTATTTTCTGTTAGTATAATTTTAAAAAAAATTATCAGCAGTTAACATTAGATAAGTAAAAGATTATTCATTTCTTAGTAAGTTTTAGTAGAAACCAATAGCCGGAAAAATGATTTAATTTGTGATTTCATTGCCGAGGAAGTACAGATTTGTTTGTAATTGTTGGTTGGTATATTATTCTGTTGTACGTTAAAAATATTTGGCTATGGATTAAAGAAAACAATATGACAGTTTTCAGGTATTACAGTTCGAAAAGAAAAACAAATCGTTTCACTAAATAGACGTAATCGGATTTTTAAAATAATTCGGTTAAAGATGTAAACCGTTCTTCCCATCTTTTCATGTTTTTCTAACATGAGAAGGAAACAATGACAAATTATCAGGCATTTAATTGGATGTCCACTTTATTTTTAGTCAGTTTAGAATTTTTTCCACCTTCTGTTTTTTATGTAGTGCATTTGAAATGTAATGTGCTGTACGTGATTGCACCCTGAAAACGGAATCAGAGCTCCAAACTGAAATTCATTTACTTGTGGAAATCCGTTGATCTATTGTCAAGAATGCATTTACCACAACGTTTTCGTCTGCTGTATGTGACTAGGTTTAAAAAAAAATGTTGTTATTATTATATTATTGCAATTATTATATCAGCACCACATGTGGGTTAATAGCACATCAAAAAATAATAATAAGCAAATTCATTCGTTAAAATAATTAATTTATTTCAGTAAGAAGTGTCGAATGCTAGCCTAAATTAAAAAGTAAAATGAGAATCGGATGATTCTTCAAGTTTAAAGGATAAACAAAAATTTGACGGGAACGATCCAGCAACAATAGCAATTACTTATTGTTTTGTAAAAATTTAATAAAATCTAAACAACTTATTTTAGGATGTCACATGTTATTGTCCTTGTATTGTTACAAAAATAGGCTTATAAACTCACATACACACTTGTGAAATGACTCTGCCTATTAAGTCTGCACCGATTCTCAGCGGTTACTGCTATTCCGGTTCCCCGTCGACTTTTGTGCTTTTGTTCGGGAGATGCCATGAACTAGAACGTCTCGGGAAAACAGTGGTATTAGTGTGGGCACCCGTACACATAGGTCTGTGGCCGGAGGGCAACGGAAAGGCGGAAGACGCGGCTAAGGTCGGGACGTCACAACCTCCTGACTTAACAACCTCGATCCGGCTTCTTGTCGCTAAAAGTGCATTAAAAAAAATACGATTAAAAGCAAGTGGCAGCGTCGGTAGACTGAATCGGCAGAGAAGCTCTCGTGTATCAAAACCTCTGTAGATAGGTGGCCCTCAGAGGTTTTGACTCGTAGAAGAATGGTCGTCCGGACACATACTGTTGTACGACTTGGAATCTTTGGAAAGATTCCAACATGCAGAGAAAGGGTGCTCGATGTGTCCCACCTAACTGAAGGATGCAATTTCTTGGCTCCATACAGAGAGCGCATAGGAATGCCACCCAACATGAGAATTGTGCTTGAGCACAGTAGCTAGTTTCTGGGTCTCCTGTTCCGATTCTTGGAGGAAACGGTTTTTATTGTATATAGTACTGATAGTTTTGTGCCCTTAGCATGTGTTGAGACTGAATGTATTTATTACGTGAATGTGTAGTGGTACAGGGCCAATCGTGGAATATAGAGTACATTATCTACCCTCAATTAGATTAGTTGTCAGTGTGGAGGGTGATGGAGGACTGACAAGAATTCCACCACCCTAACAGTGTGCTTGGCATATAAATAGGAAAGAATGTATTTAAAAGTGAATGAGAGTGTGCATTGGCTTGAAAACTAATTAATTGCGTTGGGGGCTGAAACGACAAATATTATTGATGATAACACTTGCACTTATACAATCAGACATTAATGGTTTAAGCTCTACAGTGGGATTCTAAATGATCAAAATAGATTTAAAAATATTTCATGCAAAATGTATTTTTCTTTGGTTGTAAGTTATATAAATAAGTAAATTGTTAATTTTCACTTCATAACTGGATAACATAAATTATACAGTTTTATATCGGTTGTAGAGCTCTGAGGTTAGTGAAATAAAACAATAAAAGCTTGGGATAGTTTCAATACCATAATATTCATTGGACCAAATCTCCCATCCCACCAAATAACGTGAATAGTAACCAATCGATCACCTTTGCATATTGAAATACCAACTGAAAGAGTACTGTTGTACTGTAAGATATTACTTTATAGATATCTCGTTTTGTGGTTCTTTGTGTATATTGAGACTGCATGTATTTATTAGCTTGAATGTGTAGTGTAATGTGGATCGAATATTGGAATTGTGCGGAATATTGACTACCCCATCGACTCTCAGTTAGGTTAGTGTGGTGTAAACGGTGATGCAGGAATGTCAAGTACTCCACTACACCCTGAGTGAACGGTAATCAAATAGGAAAGAATGTATTTATGAGTCTGTGGGTTTGGATTTAGAGACTGATTGCGTTGGGGGCTGAAGTGACCTGTTAATAGCCCCTCGAGCAGCCCAATCTCGGTGGCTGGACGTATAAGACTGAGGTCTGACTCCGGACTAATAACACCTGAAGTTGGAGATTCTCGACGTCTGCCGGTAATTTATTGTAAATTACACAAGCTAGAATTGCCAAAGAACTGCGAGAAGTGATAGGCTCAACACAGTACCCGCGTATGTACATGCATGAGCAGATTGTGCTTTTATATCTAAATCACTAATCAGTATTCTTGAATTGGTGGTGCTATTTTTATTTTATGTTTTTCAAATTTGATTGTTCCTATTTGATGTGAGGTCTGCGAGGTGACGAACGTGTAGCTTAATTCGTCACGCTGGTCTGACGGGGAAAACCAGCGAGGACAGGCGGACCAGAATAAAATGAGAAAGTCAGTCTAGAGGCAAAAATAGTGAATTCTCTGTAATCATTAAGGGAACAGATAAAAATTAAATATCCTTAGACAGGTCTACTATATTTTTCTCTTATAATCGTAGTGATTTTTCCCCTTTTGCACTTAATTTTTCTTCTTCGTCTATTTTGTCTGATATCTGCTAATCGTTTTACTGGAAGATTTTAGTATCTTTAATAAAACACATAATTCTTCTTTTGGGCTCAATCGCTAGTGCTCATAGTTCGCCCATTCCATTTCCATTTCCCATCTTTGAGCCACCTGTATTTAGAAGAGCTCCAGGTTTTTTTTTTTTTTTTGTGTTCTCTCTATCCATTGTGTTCTCTCTTCAATTCAGACAGAAGACACACTGAGCAGATACTGCCAGGAAGAGGAGGAGACAGCAGAACACATTTTATATTTTTGTGAAGATCTATGTAGATGCCGCAAGCAATCCTACACTAAGGAGCCGCTGGCAAGGCTATGGAGGTTGATTAACAGCCTCAAGCTGTCCAGTGAATTATTAAATAAATAAATAAAAAACAGAGGCACACAATAGATCTACTCAGGTCGAGGTGCAGAAGGCCTTGTGGCTGCCGGTTTTATCCCTATCCCTATTATCTATAGTCTAATTCTCAATTTTATTCGAGATATTTCACTTTTCGTGTTACTTCAACGTTTCACAACTTTTTCCCATAAAGCCCCTGTTCTCAAATATTAATTCGACCGTAAATTTGCTTACGACTGTGGAAAGAGCATGCATTAAAAATACTATAAGATTCGTTTGTTGTTTATTGTGACCTTAAACAAACAAAGTACAATCAGTTAGAACATAACTTTTTTACGATTTTCCTTTTCTTCTAGTCTAAAGCGTACATAAGATTTTCTTGGCTCAGTAAATACTGACCTATATGGCGCTTACGCTTTGACCCTACTAAAAAACTTTAAGTTCGTGTACGTAACTTCTCAAATCTCAGTTATCACTTTTGTAAAATTAACCAATTAATTTAATTGTTAAAAATGTGATTTTTCGCTGACAAATTGTATAAAAAATTAAATTTATATAAAATAATATCTATAAATTTAGTTATAGATATTAGTTAGATTTAGTAAATTAAAAGAAACTGAATACTACTACAGTAGTATCTATATCAGTAGTATGAATCAATAATATTACTCAGTACTATTTTGTAATTTCTTGAATAAAAGTTTTTTAAAAACGGATTCGGCAAAAGAAATTTTAAATAATTTCTTTAGCCGAATCCGTTTTTAAAAAACTTCATTCATACTACTGATATAGATACTACTGTAGTAGTATTCAGTTCCTTTTAATTTACTAATCCAAATCAAATTTCTCCGATATGCCTTCGGGAAAATCTAACTTAAGTCTACTTTTTTTTTTTTTTTTTGACTGGGGCTTCCGACATCTAGGTCATTTCAGCCCCCAACTAAGTCTATATTCTATTTACCCTTTCAAACACTACATTCATACAAATAAATACATTCATACACATAAACACATCCACACAGTACACTCATTCCGTTTGGTCGGTGTAGTACTTAATATTTCTCCACCGACCCTATACTCAAACTAATCTAGATTGGGGTCGTTGGAGTACTTTTTTAAATATTCCGCCATCGACCCCGAACACACACACTCTTACGCTCTCAACGTTCGAGAGGCGATGATGACGTTATATTTCACCCTCACCCCACGCCATTCACGCTAATAAATATATGCAATCAGACAAAACATATATACACACAACACATAAGACATATTATATACAATAAAAAACCTCAATTTCCCTTAAAAAACGGAACAGGGGACTGAAACTCGCTTTCGTGTTCGAGAACTCTTCTTAAGTCCGGCGGCATGCCTATGTCTACGTTGTTGGTTAATAAAAATGCTTATAAAATCTCTGGAGTGGGAGAGAGTCCTGATGACAATTCTAGGCGCAACACCTGCATCCTAGCATTGTCATCACTTTATTTATTTAATAAAATAGTTATACTCGTATATAACTCCTCCCCCTTTAGAGAGAGCTTCCCTGGAAGCTCGTGGGAGAGAAAAATTATAATTACAAAAATTAGAACACATTAGAGATTTACATTAGCGATCTTAGCCCTATGTTAAAGTATAATTTTACATCTGCAACGAACCACACCTGTGGTTACTTAAGGCTAACATGGTTTTCTTATATCTACACAAAATGATGGTGATTACGGTTAATATGGTGGGTAGAATTATATACAGAAGGATAGTCCAGAGGCTGGGATTGATATGTATCGCTGGAATTTCTTGAAAGATGTGGGTGAAGGTTGGTATGTCCATTTCCATGACAATTTGTTTCGGTACATTATGATGAGGGAAAATCTTTGTTAACTTATTTACAATTTCTATAGCCTGATTAGATTTTAGTCTATAAGCCTGTGCATATTTTGAAAATGTGTCTATCAATGTTAAGAATTTTGTTTTTTCAAAAGTTACTCTATCTATATGAATTATTTCGAACGTAGGGTTAGGTGTTATGTTGAATTTGAGTTTTAATGGCCTTCTGTCATATTTCGTCATTTTACAAATCTCACATCTGTTGATGAAATTTTGAATTGATTTTCTCATGTTTGGCCAATAATAACAACGTTTGATTCTTTCCGTAGATTCTTCGATTCCTCTATGGTTTTTTTTGGTGTGGTAGTTTTCAATGATTTCTAGTTGTTCTTCCTCCTCAAGTACGTCCATTAATTTTGTCGTGTGTTTGAAAAACTTGAGTTCTGAGTGTTTAACGTGTTTTACCATCACGGAGCTAAATTGTTCATAGATGTCGTCTTCGAAGAAAAGGGAGTATTTTGTTTTCGGTACTATGTATGTTTTTACGAAATCTATATCTGATGCGAAGTTTGTTTTTGAAATTTGGATTATGATCCTTGTTTTGCTTTCGTGTAACTTTACTATTTTCGGTTTGGTGGGTTTTCCCGATATTAACCGGTCCTTCGATAATGGGGATGGTTATTGTCGTATTTCCTTATGCGTTGGAGTGAACTGTCTCAATGTTAGTTTCATTGTCGTTTTGTAGTTCGTCTAAATTTATGATAACTGGTTGGTTTTCCTGTATTTAATTAGGGTTTTGAAAAACCTCTTCCGCGATGTCTGGATTTTCTAGAAAGAATTGCGTAAGGAAGTCATCGACCTCTTTGTCTCCTGTGTCAGCATGGTTCACATAAATGTGACACGTGATAACGCATCAGCGACTTTATTATCAGTGCCCTTGCAATGCTTTATCTCGAAATCGAATTCTTCTAGCTTCAACCTCCATCTCATTAATTTTGAGTTTGGTTCCTTTATGGAGAATAACCTCTGTAACGGTTTGTGATCGGTATATAATATAAAAATAAATGTGGTTTAAATTGTTTAGTAGCCCAGACTATTGCTAAAAGCTCTTTTTCGATGGCTGATAGATATCGGATTCGTTTAAAGTGCGACTTGCAAAAGCGATGGGCAGGTCTGCATTTTTTACGTTTTGACTGAGAACTGCACCTAAAGCGACGTTACTCGCATCTGTAGTTAAATTAAAAGGTTTTGAAAAATCTGGGTATTGTAAAATAGGGCTGTTACTGAGGATATTTTTGCATTTTTTGTATTCTTCGTTATTGGCATCTACTTTTGATCCTTTTTTTAAACATCTAGTTAAAGGTTTGGTTAAACTTGCAAAAATTTGGATAAATCTACGATAGTAGCCTAATAATGCTAGGAAAGATTTTATTTCTTTTTTTGTATTCGGGATGGGAAATTGCTTAATAGCTTTGATTTTTTCAGGGTTGGGTTTCACGCCTTCCGGGGTTACTACATGGCCTAAATAATCTACTTCTTTACGACAAAATTCCGTTTTGTCTAACTGTATTTTGAGATTGGCCTCATGTTAATGTTTCGGTTTGCTGGGACTATGTACTACGAGTGAGATAATTATTTGGTTTTTTCCGTTATTAACCGTCCCTTCGATAATGGGGATGGTTATTATCGTATTTCCTTCTGCTCTTAAATCGTTAATATGTTCTTACAAACCTGAACCGTAAATTATGATATCATCAAGGTATACCATGACGTTTTTTATACCTCTTACATTTTAANTGTGTTAAATAAATAATGTGATGACAATGCTAGGATGCAGGTGTTGCTCCTAGAATTGTCATCAGCACTCTCTCCCACTCTAGAGATTTTATAAGGATTTTCATTTTAACAAACGTTAGTCTTAAGCCAGATTTCCCGAAAGCATATCGACGAGATTTGATTTAGATTCATAAAGTTCTGAATGTATATCAGTAACTTATTTGTAATTTCTTTGAATAAAAGTTTTTTAAAAACACATTCGACCAAAGAAATATATATATATATAATATAACGTTGTGGTGATTTTAAATCAAATTATGCATTAAGCGGTTTTTCCTCAATATCCGCGACAAAAAACAAATAGTTTTCGTCTAATTGTAATTATTAAATAATTTTTGAAGTAGTAAAACAAAAAATATGGCCAAACATTGTCAAATTAAAAAATAAATCAAAATTTCATAGTGTGTCAATTTTTTTGTTGAATAGTGTATAAGAGGGTCAGTGACAAAGATGCGCGAAAGGAAGAAAAAAATCGAAAATTTTTTCGAAGGCCGGCAATGACCATTTGATATTTGTCGGCCCTCAAATAATACATACTTCATACATAAAATAAATACCAAGTGTAATAATCCTTCTATTTCGTAATGGCTTGAGTAATATGATTAAAATGTAAAGAGTTCGTTTTTTGACATTCGTTTTAATTTCTTAGCAAAATTATAGCAAGATTTTTTTATAACAATGCAACTATTTCCTAAACATGTTTTAATAAGATGTAATTATTTTTCCCCATTCCAATTTCTAGGTCTTTACAGACGGAATAACCAACAAATTAATAGGATGCTCTATAAAGGAAAACCCTTCTGACGTTGTACTCGTGAGGGTCTATGGAAAAAATTCAGATCTCTTAATCGACAGAGAAGCTGAAAAAGAAAATTTCAAGGTGAAACACAATTTATAGATTAATTAATTCTTAATTTTATTAATATAGTTTTGAATGCAACTATATAAACTGTGTTGTTCAAGTTGCATCTGAAAGTAATAAACGTTTAAAAGTGGATAATTTGAATGTTGTAAATTTCGAGTTGAAATTTTTCCTATACTGGAGTCTACAAAACTACGAACTAGACTTACACATAATCAATACGTCACATCACTGTACATGCGGACCGTCATTGTGGAGAAGCAACACAAACAAACCATGTGGCAGCGAACTAGTTATCGTCTGAAAAACGCTTACACAACCGACTAACTCACTTTATAAAAAATGAACTACATACCCTGAAACAACAACGATTCCAAGACGTTCACTGGCCAGGACAAATCTCTTTTGATAGCAGCACACAGAATCCAATCCTATAAACCTGTTCCTCCTCATCTCACCCAATATGGCTCTTGGGCCATGTCCAATGAAGAAAAAACTGACTTATTTGCCTCCTATCCAGCGCTTTCACTCCTCACCCTTACCTGAATGATGACATCAATAGAACTTTAGAACATATGAGACCTAACTTTTCCTCTACTTCTCTCCTCTCCAATGAAACAACACACCCAACAAAGTATCCCTATCATAAGCCATCTACCACTAAAGAAAGCTCCTGGTTTCGTGGAGAGGAGTACGGCTGTACCAGATTACTGTAGTTTTCCTTACATACGTTTACAATTCTGTCTTAGAATGACATGCTTCCAATGGAAATTTTCCCTCATCCAAATGATTCCAAAGGCTAAAAATCCTTCTATCACCCTACCATCCCATTAGTCTGTTGCCTATAAAGGGCAAAATCCTATAAAAGCTCTTACTTAAACACATTCTCCCCATCTTTCATTCCTGTAATCTTATTCCTGATCACCAGCTGGGTTCAGACGTTCGCATTCCACTGTTCAGCAGTACCATCATATTGTAGACATAATCGATACTGCTCTTAAACAAAAGCAGCGCTGCTGCCATGTATTTTTAGATGTAAATCAAGCTTTGATCAGATATGGTACTCGAGGCTCTGGCATAGTCGAAAGATCTAAAATCTCCCCTCTCTATCAGCTAGCTGTCACACAGATGCAGGAGTACAACAAGGAAGTATCTTAGGACCTATCCTCTTTCCTCTACCGACAAATAATCCTCTCAGGTCCTGTCATGTTAATCAGTAAACCACAAACCCACGTCACATCCCTTGAGCCATGGTGGAGTAGTGGAAGATGACAATAAATATAAACAATTGTGAACATGTCACAATCACCCTTCTGAGAATAACCACTTGTTCTAACTACTACAAAAGCATCTCTTTTCCACTAGCAAATCTGCTATCTTGGGTTATATATTGACATACAACTTATATACACATAACTGCTTTTTTAAATGTCGAGGAGGAGTTTTGGGAAGAGATTGGGAGGAAAGTACATGGGGATTAGAGTGGTATTGGATATTAGTGTGGAATTTTTTGTAGCTGTTTTGCAACTTCATTTAAAAAGGAAACATTTAGGTTTAGGTTATCGTTATTGAAAACGTAGAACCATCTGTTGACGATGGATCAAAGAATTCATAATTGTAGGGTCTGGATTCTGTAGAGAATGGAAGGTTTGGTTGAATCCCAATATTGCCCATATTGGTAGGGTTCAGTATTGAGTTGTATATGAGTATATGAATAAAGGGAGAGGTTAGAATGAAGATTGGAATGAACAGAATAGAGTAATGCGATGAAGGTGAAGGGTGCATTTTGGGACTTTGTGGTGGTTCGTTTGATTCACTTTTTTTTAAACCATTCTTCAAATATAGGTGTGTCTGGAGGGTTCGGTCAGCTATGATGGGGTCAGAGTTAGAGGACAGAATGGCAGTGTCCTCAGGGTATGTTAGATTTGTTATAGGAAGAGACATCAGCAGAAAATGCTGAGTACATTTGCGGGCTGAGGAATCTACCCTGAGGGTCTCCTGCATCCACCTTGTACAAAATAAAGTGTGAGGATCTGACCCATACTCTAAAATACCTAGATATTTAATAATATCTATATGTACTTTCCACATTTGACACATCCTGAAATGTATTACAGCCATCAGCCCACATTGGTCAACCTGGGAATCCATTTTAAAAACGAAGTGAGAGGAATCATGTTCAACTGTAGGCCACCGGGTAGCAGCTGAAATCGCTTTTTGTTTGTCAAATTTTTGACAAGAAATCAGGGGCTCAGTTCAAAATAAAAATTAATTCTCTATTCTGACAATTGCTGTGGGTTTGTTGTTACTCACTGCCTTGAATATCTGACAGCTGGCCCCTTTTCCTTTCTTAGGATTGAAACAATTACAAGGTAGATGGGTGGAGTCCCTTGTGTTGTTGACTATGGCTTTGGTTGTCCTTTACAATGATAATCTTTGGGCCTGCAGTAAAATCTTTTTGACTTTAGTGATTAGCGTGTTGATCCAGCATGTTGCTCCATATGTGGCCAACATAATAATCCTGTTTTATAAATTAGGCCAAGTGCCCCTGCCACAACTTGCTCCAAATAATTGCTATAACTTGGCAAAAATACAACTTATTATTTCTCTTAGTTAATTATATGTTGCATAATATTGTTTCATATCTGGCCATTTCACTTACTGGATGTTGAGCGTAGATGGAACAGAATGATCAGGGACCATCAGTCTCTTATAAAATAAAATTGTAAAAATAGGTAAAAGGGTTGATCTATAGCCTAGCAAAATCCATTGGGACTAATCCCAACAATTTTCTAAGCTTTCTATGCAACAGAACTCTGTGTACAGGAATTAAAAAAGAAAAATATGAAAGGTGCACAGATTTACATACTCTCAGACAGACAGGCAGCTATAAAAGCAGTAAATGCAAATGCTTTTAACTCCAAACTTTTTGGGAGTGCCTCAATTGCCTAATGGCTCTGGGATAACAACAAGATTACTTTACAATGGGTTCCAGGACATTTAGGTATAGAAGGAAAATAAACAGGCTGACCAACTAGCCAAAAAAGGGGCAGCCCTCGCACCCATGGAACCAGAACCACGACTAGGTTCACTGAAGTGTGTGCTTAAATTGGAACTGGAAAAAAAATCAACCACTGTATAAAATCACCAGGTATGAAGCCAGCTAAGAGATTTAAAAATCTCTCAAAAAGGCAAATGAACTCCTCTCTGTTAGCAGGCAGGATTTGAGAACAATTACAAGACATCAGCACATATCCTTCGTGAATGTGAAGAATTTTTTTATTATTATTTTTTATTTATTACAATGGATGTATACTACAGCTTATTGTACTATATTCCTGACTCCATTTTTGGGGGACTCACAATATGTGTGTGCAGTGTTCTTACATCGAAGAAACTCATTTTTGAAGGGGGTTGGGACCAAATTCACCCTCAAAAAAAGTTGTATTTTTTGAATATCTTGAAATTACTTTAGTCTTTATCCTTTCATCACATCAAAAAATTATTTACTATTGAAAGTTGAGCGAATGAAAATAATTGTCATGTTTAACAAATTAAGAGTTAATAGTTGAAAAGTATATTGGCCAAATATAACAAGGCACTATTTGAAGTATCGCATTTTTTCCATATTTAAAAAGTATTGAGAAATGCTCATTAATGCTTGAACTGAATGCTGTTATCTTGCACAGGTGTGGAAAGATAAAATTTAATCTGAGTAGCTTGTAAATTAACAGTTATATTTTGCTGTTGATAGTAAAGTGTAGTTATATGATATTTAATTAGAAATTACAATTTAATCCAGACAATAACTTACATGTTACATCTTTAATGCACTTAAATATATGTAACCTACTGTTAAAAAAATCCAATGTCATACAGACCTACAAGCCTTCTCCTAGTTTAAACTTTGGAATGTTTCTTCCTAAAAGATTAATCCCCATATCCAACTCCCATAATACCCTACCCGTCCATCAATTTGGTTTTAGACATCTCCATTCTGCTATCCAGCAAGGGTTACAAGTAATCAACACAATATTTTCTGCCATTGAAAACAAGTATTATTGCTCAGCAGTTTTTCTAGATGTCACAGAGGCATTTGACAGAGTGTGGCACCCCGGTCTGCTTTTCAAATTAAAAAGTTTCTTTCACCACACCCAATATCTCATTCTTAATTCTTTCCTCTTGGATCACTGGTTCAAGGTGAGAATTGGCTCTGAATTTTCAGACATGAAGCCCAACAAGGCCACTGTTCCCCAATGGAGTATCCTAGGACCAATCCTCTACCCAATTTACACTGTTGATATATCTATACACCCTAACACCCATATTACATCCGACGACACCACAATTTTCTCCTTGCAGCAAAAGCAAACCAAGACAACTACACCTCATTATTGACTGGCACACTCTTTGGTGCATTAAGCTAAACAAACAAAAGAACCGTCACGTGATGTTCACTCCCAGAAGACGTATAAATACTCATGAGTGAACATATACAGTAAGGTAATCCTTCCGTCCAACCAAATCCGCTACCTTGGGTTCTAATTGGACAGCAGACTTACACACACATAAAACTAAAAAGACAAGAACTCAGCCATTTACGAAAAAGATGACTAATTGGACCAAAATCCACAGTGAGTACACAATAAATTAATAACATACAAGCCACTAAGTAGACCGATCTGGACTTGTAGGGCTGTGGGGTTCAGCCAAGCCATACACCATCCAAAGAATTCAATCTTTTCAAAAATACTTCCTCCATCACATCCTTAATGCTCCCTTCTACATCATTGATCAAACCATTCATAAAGACATGCAATTCGTGAGAGACATAATCTGAACACAATTCCACACTCCCACTTCAAGCTCTCCTTCCACACCAATCCACTAGCTCAAGCCCTTTCTTCAACATCCAACTGTCCTGAGCACTCAGCACCAATTTTTTATGTTGCAGCTCTTACACAAGGCTGGATTCGCTCCTAGACTATACGCTACTTTTAAAAATGGCCTGGCTTATGAGTTTGTTCCAGGCAACGTTATCAATGTTGATACAGTCAAAGCACCAACAATTTATCCTCTAATTGCATCTATGATGGCAAAAATCCATACAGTCCATCGAGATATGAATGCCAGTCCTTGCCTTTGGTACAAAATTGAAAAACAACTCAAATTAATTCCTTCAGTCTATACATCAAAGAATAAGCAACTGATGTAAATATTTTGTTTGGAGAAATTGTTTTGGTAGTAGTGTGTGTGTTTTTTCATAGAGTCTGTTTTCAGTTTTGAAGAAACATTTCCTAACGGGATAGAATTTTTGTGGAAAGAGTTTGTTTTATTAAAGTCAATACTTTCCAAAGAAAACAGTCCAATTGTTTTCTGTCATAACGATCTCCTCCTAGCTAATATAATTCACCAAGGTAACAAAATAACTTTCATTGATTATGAATATGCGTCTTGCAATTACCAGGCCTATGATATTGGAAACCATTTCGCTGAATTTTCAGGTATGTCTTAGAATCTTAAAATCAGAATTTAATGTAAACCCATCCATTCCATCCACAGGCCCCAATGGCTACTGTCAACTAAATCCCCAATGCATGCTTAACTTGACAAACACATACACTCACATTGACACAAGCCCCATGCATCTATAGTCAATCCAAATAGTTAGAAAGTTGTTGATTACCGACCTATAAATGTCTCAAATTTCACGTTACACTTAATTTGAAGAAGTTAGCTGTACATTTAAAAATTACTGTCTTCTGAATTGCTTTGGAATATTGTCTTTTTCTTAGGTGCTATGAAACGAGAAGAGACAATTACCAAGATGTAGAAGTTGATAGTGATGTTGATGTCTAAAACAAGCACAATATTCTGAAAAATCTATTGAATGCATGTGGAATGTAGAAACAGAAATTTTAAAAAAGGAATATGATGTGATGATGAAATAATGAATACTATTGAACTAAAATTAAAACAAACCACTAACGAGTTATACTCCTTATAGCTTGATAGTTTCCGATCATCATGGCCCTTTTCTTGCTGGTTTTTAGCACTTTAATAGTGGTTCTGTGAGCAAAACCAGCGACTTGGCAGACCAAGATGGTTTGAAGTTATCAAGCTACCTGTCCATCAGCTTATAGATCTTAACGTGTTATTTTACAGTTATAACCTCTCGTTTCCTGCCGATAAAAATTCAGAACAAAATCTTCCAACTGTCTCAAGCTGTATCAATGCAACAATCATCTTTTCTAGGTATCCACGGATTCCGTATGAGAGGAACATCTGTGACATTCCCACTTTTTTAACGGACCAATTGGCCTTTTTCACAAAATACTTATGTAATTTCATTCACCGTGAGTGATACGTGTAGTGTATGCACTAAATAAGCATGGTAATGAGATTTTACTTCCAAGCGTTTTAAAGTTTAATTGATAATGGCGTGATTCAAATTTCAAATGATTTGGTTGTAGACTTTTGTTTTTATAAGCAAATGATTGTTTCTTAATTCCTAAAAATTACTGACATTCCATAAATAAATTAAATGATTTACAAGGTCAACTGTGTCTTGGCAAATGAAGTATGCATTTGTATTCACATAATTTGTGGTTTAGTTGCAATGCATGATTTACCAATTCCTTGTGACTAACCCTTTTATCAGGGTTTAATTAAGTAATTAATTACCCTCCAACAAGCTTGTAGTCCTTAATTGACTAATTCATCCTCATATTTGCTTCAGGTGTTACAGAAATGGACTATTCGCTCTTCCCTGGGGAGGACTTTCAAAGATCCTGGTTGAGAATATATTTGGAAGAATATTATAATATTACAAGTCCAAGCAGGGTAGTTTCAGAAGAAGATGTATCAACTTTATACCAACAGGTTAACAGATTTGTCTTAGCGAGCCATCTATATTGGGCAACCTGGGCGCTGGTACAAGGGCAGCATTCTTCTATTGATTTCGATTTTATAAGGTAATCTCTAACAAACAATATTTATATTAATTTTGTGCCTAACATGCTGCCAAAACATTTTCACAATTTTGAAACAGACTATGTAAAATACGAGACGCTTTGCAGCCACCTTTCCTTAGCAAAATACTTTGAATGAAGTGAAATAAAATCAATAGGAACACATAACTAATAGAGGGAGAAGGAGAGAGNGAAGGGAGAGGATAAAGAAATAATGTATTATTATAGTTGATCTTTGTAGTGACATTGGATATTCTTGTGTTTACGTCTTTTAACATTTTGCATACATTTCAGATACGGTGCGGAACGAATGAAGGAATACGAAATACGAAAGAGAAAGGTTCTTTAGTGATAATGTGTTAAAAAGATCCTGTGATTTTTATTTCTACATTTATTTTACTATTTAATGTTTGGATTTTTATGAACAATTAAGCATAATAATGAAATAATATTAAATGCATTATTGATTATATATATAAATTATATGTACATATTTTGTATGTAATTTACCTTTTGATAATTTGATCCTTTTTATAACAGAACTATGTATGTACAAGCAAGGATTCAAAACTCATTATCTTGAGAATAGTCTATGTATATTATATTCTTTGTACGTGCCAGTGATTTATTTATTACAGTGTTACTCAAGGAAACTTTGGACCTCCCATTTGATCAGAAATTATTATTATGTACATATTTCTTACATCAGTAATTTCATTAGAGTAACCTTTTGTAAACTAATAATTCTTCTCAGCTGAATTGGCTGCTTTCTCCTTTAGTGAAGGGAACTTGAGCCTGATGTAAGCCAGTTGAGAATTTGGAAGCCCCTGCTTCAATGTATGGTGCCTGTCCATTGTCACACAGGCTGCAGTTTTGAAGGCGGAAGCATTGGCGATGGGCTGATGGAAACTTTTATAAGCCCATCCAGCATTGTTTTCGACCTGACTCACCATTCCTTTTTTTGCCCTATCTTATTTGACTTTTATCGTCTGACAAATTATCAATTTCTCACCTATTTTAATGGATAAAGTTTATATCGGCCAATATTATGCAATCTGCCTGTAATAAATTAAATAGATATATTATTGGAATTTGTATGCAATCTGACAGCTGAATTGTCTTGCCTACCAAAGTTATAATCTTATCGGCACAATTCCCATTGTCGTATACTTGAACTCCACAACTAACTCCACAAACTTGACTTACTAACACCATTAAAAACACCTAACAACATAGATAACCCTGTACAATCTTTTACTGAAACTATACAAAATACTCTCTTAGAGTCGAAAGAATAGAGATCAATCTCAAATCCTAACACAACAGAGATTTCAAGATTACACATTTTCACTGACTACAGAGGACAAATCTGCAAAACCCTTCAACATCTACCTAAAAAAGCTGTAATTTTCCTTGCCTACATTTACAATTCTGTCCTTAGAAAAACATACTTCCCATCCAATGAAAATTTTCCCTTGTGCAAATGATTCTAAAGCCTAAGAAACAGAAACTTTTATCATCCTACCGTCCAATTAGTCTGTTTCCTATAACGGAAAAATCCTGGGAAAAACTCCTGCTTAAACACATTCTCCACATCATTCATTCTTATAACCTTATCTCTGACCACAAGTTTGGGTTCAGATGTTGTCATTCCACTGTTAAGTAGTGCCATCGCATTGTAGACATCATCGCTATCGCTCTTGAGCAAAAGGAGTGCTGCTCTGGTGTATTCCTAAATGTGAAACAAGCCTTCAATTGAGTAAAGCACTCGGGAATCCTCTGGAAACTTAAGAAAGTCCTCCCTTTTACCTACTATCTGATCCTAAAATCCTACCTATCTGACAGATACTTTCAAGTTATCTGAGGCCACTCCATATTAGCTGGGTATCACAAGGAAGTGTCTTAGGACCCTGCTCTACACAGTATATACCGCAGACGTTCCTACTCTTCCAGAAATGATACTACCTATGCGGATGATACTGCCATCCTTTGCTCCCATAAAGACCCTGTCATTTCAACCAGAAACCTACAGAGCCTTGAAGTAGCGACAAGAAGTTTCACATTTACCCAGTCATACAAACCCTCTTGTCTAACCTTCCAAATAATCCACCCTGAAGGGTAAGTGTCAATGGCCTCCAGCTCCTAAGTGTCAGTGAATAACAGTGAAAGTGTTCATGCTAGTACATAGGAGTGACTACTAATGAGTTCTCTTTTTTCTGTTTTATGTATATTTTTTGTTCATTTTATTTTGTTTTATGCTGAAAATGCTATAAAAGTTTACTTAAGTGAAGGTGTAAATAAATAAAGAAAGGAGAAAAAAAGAAAATGGGATAATTTCATAAAACCAAAAATATTAAAAAGATAATAATAAAACCAAAAGACAACTTATTGGAGAAAACATAAATTAATAATACTAAAATATAAAAAGCTACAAAGCTAATAATTGTGATAAAACTGGAAACATGTCCTACGTACAGGATAATGTGAACAATCAGAGGCTGGTGGAGATTGAGAAATCGGAATTTGAAACTAATTGGAGATAGTGTAAAAACTCTCAACATCTATTAGAGTTGTCATCAGTTAGAGTTAGAGATTGAAGGAGCCTTTTGAAACGCTTAGAAAGTCTCACATGCGTGAGTGTCTCACTTCAGCCAACATGTTAAACACTTCACTTGTAGAATTCTGAACAATATTTAAAAACGATCAAATACATAAATACAACAGAGGGAGCAAATTAAAAACCAGAAATAACAAAAAAATTAACATAAAAATGAAACAATACACATAAAAAAAGAGGCAAAAAACATAGTGAACAACCAAAGCAGAAGTTTTTTTTTTATGTGCTTTGTTTCATTTTAATTTCTTTTTGTCCTTATGTTAAAACGGTTTCTTGGTTATAGTTTTGAAATGAATTTTGCCAAGGCCAAAATATTGAATTACTAGATTAACCCCATTCCCCCTTTTTCACACTGTTACCACTTTTTTCCCATTTAGTATAAAATGTCTGCATTTGGTTTGAGTAATTAAAAAAAAGGGTACATAACTAGAAAGCTAATTAAACAAAGAAGTTGTTATATAATTTCCCAAGCGCTCCCGTGAATTTTTTCAAGGAGGTTAAAAGTTTAGTTATTACAAATTTTAAATTTAGCAGTTTTGGAAAGATTGTTTTTTTCACCAAAAATTAAACTGAAAGTTCTAAAAGGGTGTCTGTCAATAATATTTAAAAAAAATTTGGCTGAAGTGTATGTGAGAGTGAGAGTGAAGGAACAACCTATATGATTTTAATGGTGTAGAAAGAGGAAAAGATAGGGGGAGGGTAAGCGCAATGTTTTAATATAATTTTTCACTTCTCTCACTATTTTCTAGGTTTTTGTTTGGATTAAAATTGTGAAAGATTTCAGTGAGGACTGTATCTTTTTTTTTACCTAGTATTAAATTGTTGTGGGATAGCTTTCAGCAATTCAAAATGTCCAAGAATATGTGAATAAGAAGAAGTCTATCCGGAATAAGAACTCTATTGAAATATATACAATAGATTTATCTGAGGAAGAAATGAGTAATAGAGGTATATTAGCACTAGAAATGTTGAACTGAAAAAATCCATCTTATTGTGAAACGACTATGAGGTAGTGTGCTGGTGCTACATACAAAACCTAAGTTTACAATACTCCATTAAATATTTACAGTTAATTACACCTTCGGTTTTGCTTCCTGCTGAACTGCACTTAAATCAGATTGTATAGTTATGCTATTGAGAAATTAATTAAGGTTTAATTAATGGCCGTGGCCATTTCATTTGTCGCCAAGAATCAAATAGATTACACATTTGAAAAATGGCAAAAAGGAGGGAAAATTCAAGAGGTGGGGTTGAGATGGGAGGTTGGTGTCCGAGTGGATCGAGGAGCTCAAGTGGTCAATCTAGCCAAAGATCGTGGGTTCGAATCCTGCTCGTGCCATTGACTTTTTTATCTCAACTAAAAACCTTAATTAATTGTAATATATTAATTGATCAAGCGGACCACAAAATTAGTGAATTTAAAGCTATTGAGAAATTTATGCCTAGGAGACAGATTGTGAAACAGGACCTGTTTGACAGTAACAAAAATTGATAGGACATTAAAATTGTGAAATATTAACAGGGATTAAAAAGGGAGATATTGCATCCCTCGAATATATTTGGACACACGAGGAGATACTGAAAACCCTTTGTTTTGAAACGGTGGCAGCAATTTCCAGTCTATCTAGCATTACTATGACCATAAATAAGGCACAAGGACAAAGTTTTGAGAAAATAGGTTTGATTATAAATTCAAAAAACAATATTTACACATAGACAAATATAATGTAGCCTTTGTCGAGGTGGGCGACAAAGATGGGCATTAAAATAAATCCAATTTAACAGAAAAATGCATTGAAAACAATGTTTTTGACGAAGCGTTGGAGAAATGTAGTGGTGCGAGTGGGTGCTATGCGTCGTAATAGCCTCTAATACTCAACTCCGATTAAAAAAATGAATTAATTAATTAAATTAAGTACAAAATAATTAAATAAATATTCAAAGAGGAAATTAACTAATATTGTTAACATGCAACATTTTACTACAGTGTTATTAATTATAATCAATTTTACCACCAGTTCAGTTTATTACTAATATTTACAATTCAAATTGATATGCAGTTACGTTTTTTTAAAATAGGGATAATTTTTATTAAAGTGTTTTATTACAAATATTTTGTACAAATTGTAAATGGTTACATCTTTATGTACAATTTACTTACACTAATGATTAACTAAACAGTTTTAAAACAGGAAGTGTATTTGATGTATTCTTAAGCAATTCACTATTTTCAGTACTAAATGAAATCACATCAATTTACTAATAATCTTTTAGATTCTATAAAAATTTGTCATCTTAAGTGCTAATAATCCATCAGTTGTACAAGTAAAAGCAAATAACTTGAAAATAATTATTGCATATTTAAATATGAAATATCACAGTAATATTAGAGCTTTGTTAAATTATAAATGTGAAAAAATAGAGAATCATATATGATATTGATGTCATGTCATACAAATAAAACATAAAATTTAGAGTTTAATTTTATGTGTGTTAACAAGCAAGCAGAACATTGCATTAAAATAAAAAATACTACTTGCAAGTTAATACATCGTCATCAAGCACATAGAACTAAAAAATCGTCATACACCTGGCACTGGTGAAAGTGAGTTATAGCTGTTTTCAAGTGAAGACCTGCTTGAATTTTGATTTGCAACTACAGCATAAGGAGGGGGAGGAGAACTTGTATTATGGAAGTAAGGCTTGTAAAGTATAATATTCTGCTTAGCCATGTGGACAATATTCCTGATTTCTGCTGAACCTAAAAAAAAATAATAATAATAAAATATATATATATCATACAAACACACACAAATTAAATAAATATTAGATCATATTAATAGTTTATACAAAGCAGACATACTGAATGATGTACAACACTTGATAGTTTTAACATTAAATGCATTTTCAAGGTCTTTTTCAGAAATGACTCCAACAAAGTTGGTTATTCCTCTGAGCCTTGAAGAGGGGAGCCCAGATTTGCCCCGAAATGCAGTGGCCTCGATAAACCAATTCGTTGAAGCAATATTCACTATTTATTTGTCATCAAAGAAAAGACAGAAAAGACAATTAACAAAAAAAAAACCCCCCGAGGAGTAGTAATTTATAGACTATAAATTGTAGGTCATTCCTTTCAACTTGCAATTGTACAATATCAGAAATTTCTCCACTTCTGCCACAAATTTAAGTTGAACATTTGTTAGAGTATCTGAGTTGCAAATAGACTTGAGAATCCCCGCGGGTATAGGGCCTTACTTTGTGACTACTTTGTAAGAATGTATATGCTTGTATAAATAAATTTCTTTTACCTGGAAAACGGACATTTTGAAGTTCTTGGTTTCTAAAATTGGGCAAAATCTTAACAATGTCATACTGTGCTCGTGCAATTATACTATTTTTATCGACCATCTGAATGTATGATTGAGATATCTCATCTAATCCGTCTTTGGTTGCAATCACTTTAGTATTTTCATTCTCCACAACTTTTCTGTTGACTGAAAAATGAATGTTTCTTATTAAAGTTGCTTTATTTTAACATGGATCGTATTTTTAAGTCTAATCCATCTTATTTAAATAATTTATTGATATCCATATAAAGTGTTAAAAGATATGACCATTTGTATCGACAGGCAGCATGGCCAAGAAGGAAGTAAAAGTTTGCTTAAAATTAAAACAACAAACACTACTTTTATGGTAAGTAAAATAGTGATTCCTCTTCAAGGGTTAAAATTAATTTTATTGTGAGAATTAAAGTTAAATTTATTGAGTATTTTATTAGTCGGTACTCAATCTAGAAGCCAGATGCCCAATTCCCTGATGGTACAATCAACAAGTATAGACTAATATAGAGGAGTAGAAGTGTAAGAAAAACTTAAAAATACCCATAAGGGACTATTAAAGCTATGGTTTTAATAACTCTTTTTTGTAGGATGCCGCTGTAAGAAAAAGAAAACAAAAAAGCTTTATAGCCCCTTTAAAACAGGATAAATGGAATAGAATAATTTACAAATTAATACCTTCAGTATGTGAAGTTTGAACTTGATTGGCAAGAATTTGGATTTTTTCAGCAGCTGCTTCCTGAGGGCATTGGCTAGCTTTTCTAACAAACTCGGATTCTTTTTGTTGTAAGTGCTTCAAATGGGCCTTAGATTTATCTAAGTCCAGTTCTGACTGTAATATCTTTTTAAACTGCATTTTCAATTTTTTTATGCTTTCTAGGAAAAAAAAGACATTAGAATGCTTGTCTCTTGCTATTTTAAATGTTCATACCAACCAATATATTCTCGTTGGACTTCTGACCAAAGGCAATTTAACTGGAAAAGGTGCTGAAATGTATCTGTCATAGCACTATTCTTCTCCTTGCAAGCCCATTTCGACATGTTTTCCCATGTCGTATTTTGAGCGTTTGTAAAACTTTCATGGGTGTATTTTAAGTGATCAAGGTCTGAAATGATTTTGTGAAGATCTTCATGACCCGATTTCATAGATTTCAAAATGCTGCTACCTCTAAACAAACAAAAACAAAAAAATACACATACAAATCAGATTACCTAAAAATACAGATTATATAAATATAAAAAATAACAGTTGATTAAATAAAAGAGCAATTATATATAACAAACTAGCAATTACTCATCAGAAAACAAAACACTTCATAATGTGTATAAAATTTAGACCTCCAAGCTGGGAATATTTTCACAAACCAATAAAATAAGAAATTCATGTTTTACAATAAAAAATATTGTAATATAAACAATCAAAATTTTATTTGAAAGTAGGAATAAAAAATATATTGCTACTAATTCGATACTTTATCAAGACTGTGATCCTCGGAAGTTTTGACTCTTATAAGAAGGTTCATACCGGACATTTACTGTTGGGCCAAAGCCCATGTATGAATCTGGCTTGTAGGTTGCTCAATGAACCTAATTGAAAGGTGTCATTCCTTGACTCCATATAGAGTGCGCATAGTTATGCCACCCAATATGAGAATTGTGCTTGAGCAGTTAGATTAGTTACACAATATACACTGAGGACAAATTTATTTAACGCACCACTCAATTTATTTAGTTTAAAGTTAAATCCATTATCTTTCTACATTAGGTACAGGTAATTATGAGCTATTATAGTCAAAAATGGTTTACTTTCAGTTAATCTTTTTCCTTTATTATTTTCATTTGATATTGTTCTTATTCTTAAACCTTTTTCAATAGCTCCAGTAAGGCAATTGAGTGAGTATGATAGTGTCTGGGTCATATTATTAGAGGAAGGATACAGCGAATGTAAAGTCACCAGGAGACTGAGTGTAAATTACTCTACAATTGGAATGATGAGCTCTCTTTACAGATGAGGTGAGATTTGGCCTGAAATATTCAGATGGGCGTAATTTCATATGGAGGAAGTTGGTTTCTCAGGTGACATTCCAAGGTGGTTCATTGATGTACTAACGTGGCATTTCCCTTGAAGCGTACACCGAATTGGTTGTTGTGCGGTGAAGATCTCTAACTTCACAGAGGTACTTGCAAGACATTATCGAATTACTTGTAGTGCTGTTTGCCCCCCACTATGGTGAAAGATTCTTGTTAATGCAGGATAATGCCAGAGCACAATACATGTATTGTAAATGACGAACTAAATGACATTGGAATTTAGTGCTTGCTATTGCCAGCTCAAAGTCCAGATTTGTACCCAATCAAACACATCTGGGACCAACCTAGGGGATGAGAATGACAGTGAAATCCAGGTCCTAACACCCTAGAAGAGTTGGAAATGAAATCCTATTATTATACGCAAAATATGAATAAACCGAAACACATTATAATTTAAAGATGGGACATTAATTTTATCCATCAGTGTATATGGACAGTGATGGAGGAATATCAAATGGCATATGAATAGGAAAGAATGTATTTAAGAGTGAGTGTGAGTGGATTTGAATTTAGAGGAGATTGTTGGGTGGTGAAATGACCCCGAGCGCAACTCATTTAACAGATAAGATCGAGGTCTGTCCCTGAACTGCCACCACCCGGGGTTGGTGATTCTTGTCACCTGCCTATAATTTATTGTAAATTACAGAAGCGCGAATTGCCGGTGGACTGCGAGAAATGATAGACTCAACACTGTGCATGTATGTACATGCATGTGTAGATTTAAGCTTATACGGCAGTAATCAGTATCTCAAAAGCATTATTGCACTTTCGTCATGAACTGTCTAGGAATAATGAAATTTGATAATCCATCTAGAGTAAGCAGAGAAACAAATGAGTAATATAATTTTAATTATCTCTTTTGTTTATTTGCCCATCTCTTTCGTTTATTTGCCCTTTGTACTGAGGTTTGATTAGGAATGAATCAAATAACAAGCATAATATACAATAAGTCATTGTTATTTTCTTCTTTTTTTTTTAAACAAAACTTAGTATAATGTTGAATGAATTACAATTTTGATATTCCATGTAGTTATCATATTCTCCTTAGGAACTATGTCCAAATAATTTATAGTAGAATGGGGAACTATTTACCTTCGAAATGCTCCTTGCAATTTGTCCATAGTTGAATGCCAGAATAGGATGTAATGATAAATTGAGGTTGTGATCTTTTGTCCAGAAGGAATAAAAACAGAAAAAGTTCTAAGGTTACGAAGATCTGGGGAAGCTGAGAGGTTTACAAGGCTCGCCTGTTATCATCGACAATGGGCCGGCGCGGCGCCCGTTGCTGCGTCTTTGTTGCGTTCGCCTGACAACAAGAAAACCTACGAATTATTTTCCTCTTTTTTATGCGCATAATTCAGTATGAAACAAAACATCTATTTTGTAACAAAATTCGCGAGTATTTGTAATTAATCAGTGTAGTTTATCAAATTTTCATGTTATTTTTAATGATTATTTTGAGATCGTGCGATGCGGTATGGTGTGACGTAGTTTAGAAAAACACTTTCTTTTCTTTTTCTTTTTTACGAGGGTTCGCAACAGCAAAGGTTATATTAACCCTCGGGGTGCCGGTGTTTTTGAAAAAAAGCCCATTTGTAAGTAGGAGGACCTTTACCTTACAGTGATGAGCGCCGTGTCAACGCCTAAATCATTGCGGCCACCGATGCCCCTAATAGTAAACACTTTCTTTATCGTGCCAACGATTCTATCTTTCTTTATTCAGATGATCTTCAGTACCTGGGATTTATAAACATTCTTTAAATTATACAAATACATGTAGTCTGTGAAAAAATGAATTTATACAATGCTAGAAATTTTAGACTCGATCGAAGTATTTGTACTCACTCAAAGTGTTTGTTTTCTGTGTAGATGTGTCATAATTGTGTGTCACGTTGAGAGTGCCAGTGAGATATTGATGTTTTATGTCTATATACGTTGGATGAAGGAAGTAGGGATAGAGACATTTTTTTATATGAGGAGTCGGCTTCTTTGAGGTGAAAGGAGCAGACAATGGGAAAAAATGGGTCATGGTTCGGCCTGATTATCCTTTTAGGATTATATAGACGGGGATAATTGGGGAAAGGAAAGCTAAATTGTTGAAGAATTAGACTATGTCAATTGATGAGTTTGAGGTGAGGAATGTAATGATTGTTTTGTATGTTATATGTTTTGTGTGATGTGATGATGATATATGTATGTTATTGATATTGAATTTGATTAATGATATTAGCGTATGAAGAAGGTACTTACATCAACATCCGTACTTCTGTTACTGGAAGCAGAAACAACAGTCGTTCAACCACCAATTTTTTTCCATCAATATTGCTTTTCACGATCGCTCCTAGCAGTCCAAACGGAGCGACGTCGTTCGAAAAACCACGTCGTTCCAAACTCCATCGCGACACTCCAAATATCTACGCCGCGACGACGGCATGGCGCGTTCGTGAATGGGAAAACCCGCGTTTTTTTTGGCGCAGTCTCCGTCAAGTAAATTAGAAGACTGACAAACAAACAACCTTTCAAGAAAGTGGGGTACGAACAGCTCAAATAAACGCCACGTGTGTCAGGGCTGATGCAATACTTGGGTACCACTCACCGCCTGGCGTTTTCAAAACCGACGCGTTGGGTCGTCTCCGCCACCGACCGACTCGGTTTGAAAACCGACAGGCGGTTACGACCGCTATGTCTGTCAGGTTAATGCAACAACAATGAACGACTCACCACCTCGATTTTTCTCGCGATAAACGCTTCGGTCAAAACCGCTCCGTGTGTCATCGCCCTTAATGTATAACCACGATAGAAATAAAAGAAATTCGGTCCTCAACCAGTTGGTCGACCTTTTCCAAACAAAGGATACAAATGCAACGAGAGATGCGGTATTGATAACCCCTAAGCGCTGAGCAGAAATCGTAGTACAGAACTTAAGATCTTCGTAGTTCATCCCTGTAGCGAGAAATTGTAATGTGGCTGCCAACCTTTCATGTAGAGTGATGATTTCTCTCATGACTGTCTTTTGTTTTCTAATCAAGGGGTAACACGCTGAAGTAAATAAAAATAAGACGTAAATCTTTTTATTTTTAAAGTTTTGGTTGAAATGAAAAAATAGTGTCACGAGGGGATTCGAATCTAAACGTTCTTCATCATTATACTGGTATCATTTTCCACACGATGAGTATTTTTTGTCTATTTGCATGTTTTGTGGAAAAGCATTTGATAAATATCGGGTTGTCCGGAAAATAATGCAGGATTTTAAGTTTTCATTAAAAAAAATCTATATAAAATATTCTGTTTACNAAAATCCTGCATTATTTTCCGGACAACCCAATAATTGTGAAAAGAACATGAAGCATTATGTGAACTGCATCATAGAACAGAACATACAACATCGCCACGGCGATATCCCTACTGTGGTAAATATTGGAAATGTATCTTGTCAAGTTCATGAAAGTTGATACAGAAACCCCACTTCATCCATCTCACGTGATCAACCGTGTCAATCGTCTTTCGACGAGGCCTGCTCTGGCGTATTTGCGGCAAACCATTTAATCACGTCAAAGCTAGACATGACCGTGAGTTGCATTGCGTAAATTGGGTAAATTGCAAGTTGTTACAAAAAAAGCTCATCTCGATATGGATTCGGTCGATGATGACGGATTCATTCAAATTGAAACGGCATTTAGTAGTAACCTGAAACGTATTTTTTTAAAAACATCAATTTTTTCAAAAACATATTTTTTATTGCAAATATTTCAGTGATTAAACCAAAATAGCATTATTTTTAAAAGAATTTAAAGCCACTAATTTAACTTTGTTTTGGAATGTCAGTATACAAATCCACAAACGAACGATATTTGCGATAGAGCATTTAAAACAAAAACCAAACTGTATTAATCACGTCTGATTTATTAGAAATTTTGTATTAATTGTATTAATAAAATAGGCACCGAGGTAGAATGTCACATGAAGGGGTCTGGATGGGTTTTGGATAAAACAGATGGTTTGCTAATACGAATAAATAGATATAGACCACTTAGAGGATCCGGGTACATAAATATACCAAAACGTATATCCTTAACAAAATCCATAATAAATGTTAATAACGCAGGTGATTTTTGTTTTAAATATTCTATACTCTCTAAATTCGTGAGAACACATCCAGGAAGAGTCTCGTCTTATTCTAATATGCTGAATCATTATGACTTTTCCTGCATTAACTGTCCGACACCGTTAAAAGACATATATGTTTTTGAGAAGGTTAATAACATCTCGATAAATGTATTCGGTCTTGAATCAAGACTCTCGATGAGAAAAATTATGTTTATCCTCTCAAAATTGTCGATTGTTAGTTAGAAGACAACAGGGACTTACTTTTCCTGGAAAAAAATTCCTTATCGCATTATTGTTATATTAAAATTTTTCAAACACTCACGGAAGACAAATCAACAAACACGAACACGGATTTCTCATTTGTAAAAATTGTTTGACTCACTTCGAAAGAACAAACGGTAATAGTAATGAAAAATACGAATCTCATCAACAATATCGTAACAAAAATAAACCCACCCGCATAGTTCTTCCTGAAAAACACGGAGATTATGTTCCAGTAGTTCAATTTGAAAATATGCAAAACACTCATCGCCTACCTGTTGTTATATATGCTGATTTTGAGAGTATTCTTTTGAAAATTCATTCGTGTGATCGTAACAACAGGAAATCGTTCACGAACAGCGTGCAAAAACACGAACCCAGCCGTTTCGGAATTGACGTAATACTGTCTCAAGAAATTCCATTATCAATAATACCTAATGAAATTCCGATAAAACCAATTACATATAGAGCTCCGGAAGTTGTTGAAAATTTTGTTAGCACATGGAGTTAAAAACTGTATGAGATTAACGAGACGATAACACCTCTAATTCTTAATGAAGAACAAGATTATAATCACAGCCAAAAATGTTATATTTGTGATAAAGTCAGTTAAGTGGTTTATCCATTATCTCCTATCCAGTAAATCCGAACCTCTATTTGACTTCTGTGTACAGTTCTTTAATATACAAAGGTTTATTAAGCTATTTCATGTTTAATTAATTAGGCTTATTCGCTTAAATACTTTATTAATTTGTTATTCGTTTACTCGTTAACCGTTAAACTGAATAAAGTTCACAATTACTATTTTAAAGAGTTAAATGCTCAAAAAGGTTACATCAAATCAAGATTAACAAAATTTAAAACATATTTGTTCAATTATTACGATAATGAAGATGTTTTCCAATTAAAAGCTAGACTTGGTAAAATTAAGGAATCGTGGTTGAGAACACTCAGCTTAAAATTGACATGCTGGACCAAACCGCGGAATTCCAGAAAGCCCAACAATTGGAAAAGGATAATTTTGAAAGTTTATACTATGAATGGGTCGGAAAGGCTGAAAGATATCTATCCGAGCAACATGCTTCCTCCGTCGCCAGTATGAATCAATCAGGCTGCTGAGCCTTCTCTTGCTAACCCTACTTCTACAAATTGTAGTGTGCCACAAATGCATATTAAGCCTTTTTCTGGAAACTTTGACGATTGGATCCCATTCCGGGATGTGTTTAAAGCTATCATTCATAGCAATGTCAGATTAACCGATGTTGAAAAGTTGTACCACCTCTGTAACTCCTTGTCCACTCAAGCGGCTCATATTATGGAATCATTAAAACTCACATCCAATAACTATACGATAGCTTGGGAATTATTAGAGGAGCGTTACGAAAATGAAAAAAAATCATTGTTTATAAACATGTTAGAGTTATTCAATATCGATAAGTTAGATCGGGAATCTGCTGAGGGCCTCAGAAATACATATGACAATTTTCAAAAGCATCTTCAGGCCTTAGAAGCTCTGAAACAGCCTACAGATAAATGGGACACTCTTTTAGTCCATATGATATCATCCAAATTTGATTCCCAAATTTACAAAGATTGGCAAATTGCTTCTGCCTCGAATGAATTAAACACTATGGCTGATATTAGGGAATTTTTGCACAAAAGATTCCATTCCCTCAAATAACCTGTCAATTAAACCAAAATACACTAACCAAAGCTCTTGTCATTTAACTAAGCAATCAAGTGAGATAATATGCAAATTATGCCATCAAAACCATCACATTTTCAATTTACAGTATTGCAAGGGATGAGCATTCTGGACCGATATACTAAAATTAAAGAAATGGATGTTTGCTTTAATTGTTTGAAATCTGGACACTCCATGAAAGCATGCAGATCGTCTCGCTGTAAGTTTTGCGACAAACCGCATTATACTTACTTGCACCGAGATCGACTTAGCCCCTAAGTCTCCTGAGCCTCAGTCAGTAAAAGAAGAAAACCGTGCAAAATCAATCCACACCCCATCAGTCGCACACATATCCAAGGGATCTTATGCAAATAACAACCCTAATTATTCTATCATACTCTCAACCGCAATAGTTGATGCACGGACTCCTGAAGGAGATTACATCCCATTTAGAGTTTTATTAGATTCAGGATCTCAAATCAATCTAATGTCTTAAGTAGATATAAAATGCGGGTTCTGGAACAGTTAAGGTTGTGGTGAAGTGGGGAGAGGTGTAGGCTATGTATTCGTCAGACCCGATGGCCTGTCTGTGGGAAGTGAAAAAAGGTGAAGTGAGGAGAGGTGTAGGCTATGCATTAGAGTCTCGCGTCGGATTTTGCCGAGTGAACACGCTGTATTGTAGCTCCGTGTTGAATCGAAATTTTAAGTTGGTTGAAGTAGCCTGTTTCGCCTGTGAGTAGGTGGAAACTGTCCGACTTTCAACAAGCTTCAGGATTTTGCACTTTTCTACAAGAAAATTACAGGTAGGACTTTCCTATATTCGTTTTTGTTACTGAATTCATCGTATTTTATTTTGTTTTGTTGTTAACTACAAAAGCACCTAGCAACGGAAAGGGAATATTTCCCACTTAATTTTCATTTTTCCCTGCAATTATTTCCCTCCCAGCTGATTTCTGCTACGTTTGCAGAGGGAAATTTTCCCTTTTTCTTTTCCCTTTCAGCTGATATATTGTTTATCGCTGAAGCGGGAAAAAATCCCTGCAAATTTTGATTTTCCCTTTCCCTTTTTCCCTTTTTACCTCGGCCAGCTGTTTTTACATCTAGACACAAATTCTTATTTCTTTCATTCATTAAATTCAAATAATACTTGAATTATTGAAATACTCCAAGAAATAAATGTATAATGGCCCCACCTGAAAAAACTCGCCCTCCCTGGACTGCGGGTGCAACAGGAAGTAACAGTTTGAATACAACAGCCATTCCAAAACCTATTAGCAAGCAACCAACCAAAGCCAAAAGACCCCCAAATGATAATTCATCGGATACATACATCTATCGCCAGCGATTCCGACCATAAAATTAAAAAGAAGAGAATTGAACAAATCAAGGTAAATGGTCACCTATGCGGCGCATTAGAATCGAATCAAAAAACGGCTCATCATATTAGAGAGCAAATTGCTCAATATCTGATTGAGCCTAACAACAAATGCCCTAAACCGGCAGCTGCGCATATAATACACTTAACTGATCAGCTAATGTGTATCCTAAACGAACTGACAATTGAAAACACCTTCCTGAAAGGGAAAACAGAAAGCACACACATTAACACAAATAATTTAGTACAAGAAATTACCAAAGCCCTGACACCTATCATCGAAAACATACCAGAACACCTCAACCGACCACAGCCATCAACAAGCAAAAACCCTTCACTCTTTACCCCCTCAATAATAAACAACTCAGAACCGACCTCTTGGACCACAGTAGTTAAAAGAAAATTACCGAAAATCAAGGATACAACAGGACACGAAGAAGAAACTTCGCACCTACCTAAGACCGACGACCAGTGGGTCACGGTAGTTAAGAAGAGTATGAGGAAAAAAGAACACCCCAAACCTGCTGTAAAGGACAAGCCTGCTCAAGATAGAGCCACCTTATTACAAAAAGCGAAAGAAGAGGCCGAGAATAGCAATAAAATAGTTTTCATTGACCCGCGGGAAAAAACTGACTCCCAGGAGGTCCTGAAAAAAGTTAAGGAAATCATCAATCCCAGGGTGACGGGCATCCGTATTGATGACATACGAATAACAGCGAAAGGAGGCGTAGCAGTCAAATTAGAAGCCCCTAGTGACAGGCAAGCCTTATTATCTAATGAGGCACTTAGCCAAGCTGGTCTCAATACACGAACGGCGGGCAAGCGCAATCCCAGGATCCTGATACTGAGAGTCCCAAAAGAAATCCAGCCGCAGGAGTTGTCAGACCAGTTATGTGCGAACAATGGCCAGCACGAAACATGGGAAAGAGCCAATGTTAGACCACTGTTCACATTAAAGTATGGTACTGGCACCAGGGAAGAATCGGCGCACGTCTCCTGGGTGGTCGAAGTCGATCCACGGACATGGAAAGCCGCGACGGAAAGAGGCAAGGCTTACCTGGATTACCAGGTATGCACACTAAAAGACTATACAGGGGTTACCCGCTGTTATAATTGCCAGTCGTACGGGCATGTAGCAGCGGTGTGCCCCAAAAAAGATCCCGTATGCGGCATCTGCGCTGACGTTCACGACACGCGCCAATGCCCACGAGAGAGGACGCGGTGCGTGCATTGCCACCGTGCGGGTAAGACCAGTGGCCACCCAGTGGGTTCTGTGCACTGTGAGGCCCACGCGCGAGCAATCGCTAGAGCATGGTGCACAACAGACCATGGGGAAGCCTCGGACACGGGCGAAAAACACCAGAGCCTTACGGCCCAAGGCAAAAGTGATGGAGCTATGGGAGTCATGGATACAGACACAATAGAAAATGACACCCCTCAACTACACGAACAATGATTAGCCTCCAAAGGAATGATATAAAGTTTGCCCAAATTAATTGCCACAAGTCGGAAGCGGTCATGGCTGAGGCTCGCGCATTAGCCCATGAGCAGGGGATCCACGTCCTCCTTGTCCAGGAACCGTGGACCTGCGGAATGGACAGAGCCATGGGACTGTCAGCACGAATCGTCCGACACTGTGAACCCATTCTGACAAGAGCAGTAGTCTATGTATTGGACAGGGATACCAAAGCTATGTCACTTGAAGAGACTAACGGTGACTTGGCTTGCTGTCTCATAGAACGAGGGAATGAAGAAATCGTAGTCGCTTCGGCCTATTGTGACCGCCTGAGGAACATAGAAGACGATATCTCCCGGATCTCACGCCTTGTGGACAGGCATAGAGGAAAAAACACCATCATAGGAGGAGACTTTAATAGCCACCATGTGGCGTGGGGAGACAGACGCATCGATGCGCGAGGCCGGGCTATAGTCGAGTTTGCCGAGGACAAGGGGCTTTTGCTCTTGAATGCCGAGGACTCCCCGCCAACATACAGCGCCTCTCAAGGCGAGTCGGCTGTCGACCTCATATTCATGACCCCATCACTGTACCGTCGGACTGATGGATTCCTTGTCGACGTGACTGCGACCATTAGCGATCACGCATGGATCAGGTTCAATGTGAGACCCAGGGAAGCGAGCCGGAGGAAAATAGGAAAACGACGAATAAACGTGGCTTCTATTGACCCTAAAGTATTGGTAAAATTAGTAGAGGGGGACCTATTACAGGAAGGGAGCACTCTACTTTGGCCAGCCACTAACAAAACAGATATAGACGAGAAAGTGGCCATCATTGCAACGGCCCTTACAAACAACGCCGACAGAGCGAGTTGCCAAGCCCAGGGCCAACGAGGACCGGTGTGGTGGACATCGGCCGTGGCTGAATGTAAAGCCGTGGCTCAGCGATGTAGGCGAGCATATCACCACTGTCATGACCCCGAAGAGCGAGAATCCTACCAAGAAAGGAGCTGCGCCGCGCGAAAAGGAAAACGTGGCGCCGTTTCGTGGAGGAGGAGGATGCCACCAACAGGTGGGGCCTTCATTTCAAAGTCGCGAACGGTAAAATAACAAGCAGAATGGCGGGACAGCCCTTTCAACGAGGACACGAGGGAATTCGTGCGGCAGGCAGAGCATTGCTAGAAGAAGCCTTCCCAGAAGACACACTCACTGACGACGGGGATGATCATCGGACCATGAGGACTCGGGCAGCAGATATCTCGATCGATGGGCAGACAGACGCCTGGAGCGAGAGAGAAGTAGCCAAGGCCATCGAGAATCTCAGAACAGGCCGCGCGCCGGGCCTTGACCGCGTGGACGCGAAAGTCGTCAAGATGTGCGCATCTGTATCAATCCAGTTCATCCACCAACTGATGGTGGACTGCCTAAGGATTGGGTACTTCCCCAAGGCGTGGAAAGAGGCGCGGATTTGCGCATTCCTCAAAGCTGGCCGGCCGGCAGATCTCCCTGGATCGTATCGGATGATATCCCTCCTGCCAGTCTTGGGGAAAGCACTCGAACAACTTATACTGGCAAGACTTCGCAACTCCCTTAGCCCGGATCTACACCCTGGCCAATATGGTGGTATGCCAAGGAGGAGTACGACCCATGCCATACGGGAGATAGCTGACATAACCTTGAGCTCAACATCCCGGTATGTGGTCGGAATATTCTTCGACATAAGGAAAGCATTCGACAGGATGTGGTGGCCAGCGGTCATTGATAGTCTCAGGAGCCGTCGCACTGACGCTGATATATGTGCCCTCGTAAGTAGCTATCTGAGTAACCGACACGTGACGCTGCCGGAATACGGACCGGACTGTNCACCGATGGCTCACTCATTAAGGATAAGGGAAGTGGTGCTGGAATACACATACCTAAATTAGGGATCAGCATCTCCTATCCTCTTGGTAATAACACCTCGGTCTTTCAGGCAGAGGTCTGGGCCATTAATGTTTGCTGTAGAACACTGATGGATAACAAGATTAAGGGAAAAGATATTAAAATTTTTTCCGACAGTCAGGCCAGTCTAAAATCATTACAAAAAGAACTATCAACATCTAGACTGGTAGAGGAAATCGTTGAACTCATTAATAGGACAATCACCAGGTATGAGAATAGGGTAACCTTCATATGGATACCTGCTCATAAGGGGTACTATTTGAGCGTTCTATACCACTTAGGGCCTAATTAGCGACTTATTAGAGTCGCGTTTGGGCCGGTAGTACATATTATATTAATTTCCGAATAAGTTCCACAAACCCCCCACCCACCACCACCAACCCCTTTTAGAATACGCATAGCAGCCCCTTGACCCACGCAACGCAAAAAATCGAGTGAGGGTCCGTTGGATTCAGTATTTTGTATAGAATACAACGGTGAAAACCCCGAGACGATCAGATTTTACGGGCGGAAGTTGTAAGACCCGGAAAATCCAAATATCGTAAACACGTGTAGCCAGTCAGTCTTCGAATAATTTCAGTTGTTCCTATCACTGTGCGGCATAGTAAGCAATTTATTAGAGTCGCGCTTGGGCCGATACTTCGTGTTGGAATTCTGAAGTAAATTCGACAACCCCCCATCCCCACCCCCTTCCCTTCTCTATTATTTTGCGAGTGCAGGTGGTCCGAGTAGTCGGAGATCTTTGCTTCCTATTTCAGTCTTACTTTCATAATTACTAACATACTGACCTGATTAGCGACTTGTTAACAGCGCGGTTAGGTCAGTTAACTTCTTTTTCTTTCACCTATTAACTTACAATTTAACAATATATAATATAAGAAAATTTAAACAATGGCCCAAAATTTATTTACAATAGAGTTAGGGAAAACCGTCGGTAGAATTGGGGGTATTTAGATTCGCATAAGAAAAGTATTCTAGGCAAGCGTATAGGACATTTATAATGACCGAACTAGAATGTTTAGTAAACGCGTTCGCCGATATAGCTAGGAATGATTCTCGAGATAACGATTGTCAGGAAAAATTAAAGAAACTCTTAAGAAAAATGGAAAAAAGGGAAAATAAGATATGTAAAAAAATAGATTCGATCAGGAAAGAGTCGAAGAGAGAAATAGAAAAAGTCAAGTCGGAGTTGGTAGGTAGAATAGAGACATTAGAGGCTTGTAAATTGGATAGGTTATGGTTAGGGATGGTTAGGGATGGTTAGGGATGGTTAGGGATGGTTAGGGGGTCAAATGGGGGTCTTGGGCCTCAGCGTGGGAGCTGGCTGTCTAACCAACTCCCGCACAAAATGCTGAGAAATGCCCGCAGTCAGAAATGACGAAACCCCAAGTCCAACCTCCACCTCTTCGTGGTGACTCCCAGGCAACGTCCTGAAAAGGACGGCTGACGGAGGTGGGCGAAAAGCGAGTTCCTGGCGCTATAACGAGGACACGTAGACTATGGGAGAAAACCCTAACAAAATCCCCAATCCAAGGTGTCATGCGACCCGTGCCGACGGATGCGTGGCTCGAGGGAAGTCGAGTCGTAAACGGAGCCTCAGGGGCACCTGGCGCCCCCCCTGTGTACGTAGCCTTCCGGCGGGTTGTGGGTGAGCCTGTCGGTGACCTCTAGTTAACCCTCGCACCCAAACTACTCATGGAAAAGATCAATAAAAACACAACCCTTAAAAGTTCCCCAACAAGAACACCAAAACGCGAGACCATCGCACGAACCAAGAAACCTGAAGTCGGTGCTCCTGCACCCCCTCCGAAAGTGAACGCCCCCGCGCGACTAGACGAGGTTGCTAACCCCTTCGAGCGACGTTCGAGTATCAAACGCACGCCTCCCGGCTTGGACCAGACGAGTGCCCAAAGACCCCATGAAGCCTCTCTGCCTACGCGCCCACCGCTGTATTCACAGGCAGTCATGACATCCCGCTCGTGCGCCGAGACTGACGACTCCGCCTGCGAGAGCCCTCGCACTGAAAGCGATTTCGCAACCTCCACAAAAAGGAAAAGGACCCGTCGAACGGCGGATAGCGAGGCCGACACCGAAGACGAAGAAGCCAAAGAACACGCGGAAGCCATTACAACGGCCAACGAAATAAGGGGTCACATAGCCCAGTATATAATTGACCCGGTCAACAAATGCCCCAAACCTGCGGCCGCTTATGTCATCGCCCAAACCGATAAACTCGTCGCGGTGCTCCATAGGCTAGCGAGCGAGAATATTTATCTCAAGGGCTACACCCAAAGTAAGAGAGGAGATAAGCCGCGGGACGTCCGCGACACGGCTGACGCTGTCGTTGAGGCACTAGTCCCCGCAATTAAGAATATCACTGACGAATTAAAGAAAACGCCTAAAACAGGCTTGTCCCCCATTAAAAGCGTGATTGGTGAACTCCAGAAATGCGTCAGCCAAATACAAAAATACGAATCTCTTCCTCAGACCGCGCGCCGACCAAGCAAAAGTAAGAAGAAGAATAAACCAGCCGGTGACCGCAAGAACGAACAACTCAGCGAGACCGAAGTAACTGGCCACCCGCACAATGATAGGCCTAGCAAAGGGAAAGCGGAGCAGTGGACCACTGTTTCTAAGAAAACCAGATCACGAAAGGAAGAGCCAGCAAGACCCATTAATGGACGAACTGATCCTCGAGTAGAGCCCACCTTCCTAAAGAAAGCAAAAGAAATGTCGGAGGCCCAAGCGAAGCTTGTCTTCATAGACCCACTAGAGGAAATGAGCCCTCAAGAGCTCCTTACGAGAGCCAAGAGAATCATAAACCCTAGAGAGACCGGCTTCCGCATTGAGGACATACGGCCTACGGCAAAGGGTGGACTAGCCGTGAAATTAGACACGGAAGAGCACAGGCGAGCCATGCTTTGCAACAATGCCTTCGAGAAGGCAGGCCTCGTCATAAGAGCAGCGGGGAAGAGGAACCCGAGAATCCTCTTACTGCGAGTCCCCAAAGAGTTTACACCAAACGATCTGACCGAGCAGCTGGCGGCAAATAGTGGCTGCGCTGATCTATGGGTGAAG